TCACTGCATCTCATGGTTTAATCAACCTAGATTTTATTATGTCAGCCTCAAGAATGTTTTACAAGGAGTAGTGACAAGTTACTCAGAAGGCTACTTGACAGGACAAACTTCCAGCCAGGAGACTGTGCAGCACATACAAGAGGCAGAAGAAACCATGAGGTCCAGTACAGTTTTTTTGTTTGTTTGTTTTCCAAAACAAACACACACCCCCACACTCCACAGGCTTCTCTGCCCGTTATATCCAGGTCCACCTGAGGCCACACAGAGGAGGTGAGAGCATTGCCTGTACAACCAGTGCTTTATACCATAAGGTGTAAGACATTCCTGTGCCTGGTGCTACTGATGCTGTTCCACAACTGTCCCAGTTGGGTCAGTCATGTGCTCACAAAGAGCAGAAAGAAAAGGGGACGTATCAGAGCCTGATCCCCAAATGACAACTCTACTCAAAGCTCTTCCAGCTGCTGACTCTGCTGTGCTCCAGCTCCTCTTTGAAGAGGCAAACTGCCCAGCTCCAGCTCACCCCATGCAGGCAGCATTTCACAGCAGCAGCTGCTCCAAGGCTGGTTCCTACTACTCTGCACCAACCCTGTGGCACTTACCAGCAGTGGAAAATAAAGATGTGCATTGTCTAGGAGGCTTCTAGTCAATTGCTTAAGCAAATATTTTAGCTGAATTTCTAACAAGATCATTTAGTTTCTCCTAAGCATCACATTTTGATCACTTAACAAGGTCATTTTCCTTATTAAAGTTTCCTGCAACACAACTACGGTGCTCTGTGAAGACACAGCTTGATGTTATACAGTGAATAAATATTGCACTCACAGAGCTGATCTTTTATCAGCTCAGTTGTCAATTACTGCTATGTTTTGCCTTAGGAATTCCACTCACCCCTACGCCTTGCCCCCCTGCCCCCAACAGGCCTTTCTATTCAGTAGACTCATTTCTGAGTTCTGCAATAACACTTTAGAACTTTCAAAGATGAAAAGACTTGAAGAATAAAATATATATATACATCTTTTACCAAAAGTACGATGTAGACAACAGATAGAAAAACTGACAAAATGATAAAATGCAAAGAAAGTGGGACTGTAGCAGCAGCTTATTCCCAAGTAAAAATTCCTTTAAGGTTTGGCCAGATTAATTACCCTACTGTAGTCATCAATAACTTTCCACTCATTATTAGAGGCTTTCAGTATAGACAGATGTTAAGAAAAACAATAGTAGGAAAGCACACAGCTTTAACCCGCCGTTCTTACTGCCATTTCCATGGAACAAGAAAGAAAAAGGAGGATGGATTGCTGGGAGAGACCATGAGTTAGGGGAATTGCTGCAGAGCAGGGTGGGCACAATCCAGACCCTCCCCAGAAAAAATATATCAACTTTTCAAGAAGTTTGGAGCAGCATGTGCTGCTGGTTGCACACCACCTGGGCTTCACATCAGCAAAGGGAAAACAGCATGTGGGTTTGGATTCCCTCTTAGCCAGAGCTGCATAGCTTTGAAGCTTACACTCCAGAAGAGGGGTATGTTCCTGTAATTCATCTGGCTGTTCCTGCAGAACATTTGGGTTGGTTTGCCTTTTTGTGCGTCTTCTTTCCAATTTTCCTTTCCTCTTCCTTACTGCTGCTCAGTATAAGTGTCCCAACAGGTGGCATTACAAATCGAAGCCTGCAGTCTTTCATCCACCTGACTACCTGGCCAGGGAAAAAGCAATCTTCAGAAGAATTTATTACTCCTGTCCCTTATCAGGGGAAAACAGGTGCAAGAGAAGCATTCATAATCACTGAGGGACCCTCAATTTGGAAAACTGCTGCTTATTGCATAGCATAATCATGAACTCTTACATCTTAGATTTGTTTGCTGGAGCTACTCACATACATTTAGGCTATTTTAGGGTGTTCCAGCAACATAAGAGCAGAAATTATATATACACGTGCCCATTTGCACATTTGGGTGTGTGTACGTGCATATCTACACAAATAAAATGTTTCCTCTGGAAATTCCTAGGCTGAGCAGTGGATCGGTACATTCAAATGACATTTATTTGTGCTAAACCACCCATAGCATTAAGAAGAAACATATTTAAGACTGTATAAATCACATAAAGATTATCAGCCTTGTAAGAGTTGTAGGAGCATCTTCATTAGGAAACATGGAAAATCCTCACCATTAAAGCCCCCAGAGACCTCCAAATCTGCTGAGAACAGGCAGACGAAGCAGCAGAGGCAGATAAGAGCTGGCTCTCACAGGAACCTTCTCCCTGTGCCCACAGTATATGAGCACTCTGAAGGACAGACCAAAGCTCTGGACAAGATCCTGCCATAGATTTCCCTGACACTCAGAGCCACAGACATTTTCTTCCTAGCAGCTTTTTTGCTAAAAAAAGTTCCCTTTCGTAATTGCTCCTTGCCTTTTCAACCTATAGGGAATACTGGCAGCAAAAAGCTTTCCTACTTTGTGCAGGAGAAGCCGATGTTAAAAATTCATGGCACATTTTCAAGTCTTCAGAAACCCTTGCTTTCAGATGGATCTTGGTTCTCTATCAATAAAGCCAAAGAACTTCCTTTTCAAATCAGTCTTCCTCTTCTCTTTCCCTCCTACTTGATACAAATTTAGAGAGGTAACCACAGGCAGCTGCTGGCACCTGTCCTTAGCAGGGAAAAGAGCTACTTCCATAAAACAAATAAATTGCTACCAGCATCTTTCTTTAATACATCTCAGCATCCCATCCATCAGACATCACTTCAAACACAAGTCCAGTCCTGTACTGCAGCTGGAGTCACAATTTATTTGTGACTCCACACAAATACACACACCTAAAATCAGAACAGCCTATCTCCTTTCCCATGTGATGTTTCCCCCTTATTTTGTCCCATTAACATTTTATTATGGAGCACTGATCAGCTGAAGTAGCCATCCCAGTGGCAGACAAAAATCATATGCATTCCAGCCAGAGGAGATACAGTTCAGTATAAGTCATGTAACCACAGTATGATTATATTTAAATACCTTTCATTTATTACAAAAATACTTTGATCGACCAACAGAGGTCCTCCAGCCCTGACAGGGAGCACAGAGAACTGCACATCACAAGATCCAAGAGGAAGAGCCATACAGCAATTGAAACAGCCGCTAATATAAAGAGCTACAAAACAAGGGGTAAAAGGACAAAAACACCACCTTTATGGTTTCCCAGTATATTCCCCAGTAGCGATATACTAATCCTACTCTCTAATTAGCAGACAATTCAACCTCGATAACAAACAATGCAACACTTCAAATACTTGCTGCTTGTTCTCCCAGGAGGGAGTCTCCAGTTCCTGTAGATTAAGTTAATGTTTGAAGATTAAAAAAAAAAAAAAAAAAAAGTGGAGACAAATTGGAAGAGATCCAGAAAAGAGAAGAAAAAGAGACTGAAGACCTAACCTGACAGGAAAACAAAAATACCTGGCAGAGCTAAGAAGGAGGTTTGAAAAGGGAAGTGAAGTGTTTTGATGACAGAGAGGCTTAATGGATTAGATGCTCCTTCTGGGAACACAAGCTTTAGCCTGATTAGATAACACACCTTACCCACAGCTTCATTAAAGCCAGAATCAAGCCTTTAGAACAATAAAGGAAATCAAAATATTTGACACCAGGAAACCAATAAGGCTAGGAACTACAAGAAATCCCCATTTGTTTTCCAGTCCCAGCTGCTTTTCTTTCCAGAGCACCTCCAGAGGCAATCCCCACGTTCACATCAACTGAAGTCTTTCAGTACACAGGCAGAACCATTTGGGCCCTCAGCTCTGTGGTGCTGGATCACCTCTGAAATAAAGGTCAGAGCCACCTGCAGTGTGGCAAAGCCCCCCTGATGTCATACCTAATGCATAGGTGTTTAGTGGGACTTGATACATCTCTACACATCCCCATCTTTAGGGGAATAAACTTGTTTCTAGGAGAAAAAAATAAATTAATTTTGCAGTGATGAGTCTCAGGTGGAAACAGTTTGAGTGTTTTTTGTAATTAAATATGTAGAAGAAAGCTGTGCAACAAAGCATTACCACAGAAAGGCAAAGAAACAAAAGAAATCTTCCACACCCTGATGCTAATTTAAGAGCAAATGGTTTAGGAAAGTGTTACAACATGTGTGAAAAAAAGAGGCTCTGAACAAAGCTCCATCACACATTAAACACCAAGGCACAAGAAGGAATGTCTATAACGTCAGAAATTCCAGTATTAACCAACCTGGTAGAAATTTGCAAGCTTTTCTAGGATTAATGACCTATTCCATTTGTGAAGTCCCCGGATTCAAAGCAGTTCACATACCAGATGAAAAACAACCAACAGCAATAGTATCATATCAAGTTCCAATTCTCCCCAGACCTCCTTTCTAATACGCTTTGATAGCTCCCATCATTCTTATTCTAATATCTGGTGGCAGAGTTGTACTGTAAATAAAATCAATAACAATCACTAAATCACGGAGTGACTTATCATGCTATAAGTGAAAATCCCACCAGAAATATCAGGCAAGTTCCACAGATTCACCCGTCTCCCTGAAGAATACAGAGAAGATGGGAACTCAAAGCGTACTTTTGATGCTAGCAGACTTGGGCTGCTATGGACCAAAGGCAGACACCCCATGAACAGCTTCCATTCCCTCTGCTCAGTTCTTCACACCTCATTTGTTTGCTACATGACCAAAACTAAAGAGAACCACAGTCCCAAGAGGAGGAACAACACCTGGGTAGAGATTTCAAGAGCATCTGAAGAACCAGCAAAGGGATGAGAGATGCATGGGGGAGAAACAGTTCTGCAGAGCCCTGGGGCAAGCAGCAGCAGGAAGCAAACTGAGCTTCTCTTTTTCATTCTCCCTCCTTAAAACCAGCTGAGTTAGGGATTCAGACATGTCTCATCCTGAAACCTTTTTACAGGATCAACATGGGGGCTTTTGCTTGCTGATCAGTATCTAAACATAGTAAAAATAACAATTCTGTATTATTATTTCAGATCCTCTTACCGATGAGCAACGTACATTCATCCTAACGGTCTCAACATCTTGCTGTTCTGGTTGTTTAACACACAAGATTGTTCACAAGAACTAGGCTTCATTTTCCTGTTCATTATCGCAGGGATCCTCAGACACACCAGGCTCCTGGCAGTGCTTTGTTGTGTCGTTACAAGAAGAGAAAACAGCACATCATTTATTCTGGAGGAACAAAACACCGTCACCGAGACTTTTTTTGGTCACAGCAGCAGCCCAGAAAGCTGTCAGAAGTAACCTTTTGTCTCTTAGTTAATCTGCACTAGGAAACAAGGAAGGGAGGGCAAAGGCCTAAAGCTGCTTCTAATAAATGGATGAGCACCCACCTCTCAGCTGAGAGATGCTTCCCCTCCTCAGCAGCATGTGCTGCCCAGGGCAGCGTGCTGGTCCCCAGCCTGGTCTGATTAACACCAATCCAGCACTGCAGGTGTTTCACAATGTGATTAATTAGTCATATAGGGTTGAACTCCTGGTGCACTCTAGAGAGAACATTAGTTGGCATCACCTGTGATGCTCCCAGTTGCGTCTCTGTCTCCTAATAGAGCCTCTTCTGTTCTTAACAGCCCAGCTATTAGGAAGCCAAAGATGCAGTAATTGTTTAGGGTCCAATCAGCAAGAAAATCTGATTAGCTACATAGATGCAGGCTGTGCTTTTTACAGAGGCCAGGAGGGGAGGGGGAAGTAAAATAAATAAATAAATAAATGGCATTATTCAAGGAACATCTACATGTTCCTCAAACACCTCTCTGAAGGGCCTTTCTGACCAAGCGTGTGATTCACAGAGATTAAGATTATTAACTGCTTCCCATAAAAGAGCCGGCACAGAAACTTGGGGCCATAAATTAATGGATCTTCCTTTGGGAAGATGATTACTTCAGAACAGGCAGAGGGGAGAGGAAAAAAAAGGGTTTACACAGGTGTTTGCCTCCAGAAGAGGACCAGCTGGGAAGAGCCATGAGCTGACCTGCTTGCAAGTGAGCAGAGGAGCTGCACACACCTTGTGTCCTGCAGCACCCGGGTCTTTCAGTCAAGCAGTTCCATACCTCAGTTTCCCCAGTTTATAAAACAATACTAAATATACTTCTCTGTATTTAGATTTTTTTCCTGATATACCTAAGAGAAGGGATAAACCTAAAGTTTTAAACTTAAGGAGAATGTGTCTATCACTTTTGGTAGATGAGTGTATTTAAAGCCATTTCCTACCTTACAAAAAAAAAAAAAAAAAAAATCTAACTAAGCAAGGCGCCCTCTAACAAGTTCTGCTCTGCTACATCTCCAATTTTTCTATGCACAAAAAAAAGTTTTTGCCTGTTCCTGTTATCTGAACTAAGGGATAGGGCTTCAGTGAGTCTTTTGAATTTATTCATCTCATTTTACTCTTTGCATGCTATGCTTAGCTTAAGGGCTTGTGGGGTCACTTGGAGCTTTTAACCTCTCCCTTCCTGTTCCTGTATCCCACTGACAGACCCCACTCCCAAACCTGCATTTGTCATTCTTTCCCAGCAGCACCAGCCCTGTTAACCTGCTCTTATTTCTGTTACTGATAGAAATTAAAGGTCCACGGTTTCACTGGGTCTGTACCCAAAAGCTGCAGCTGGATTCACTTCTGCATGGAGGTGGAGATCCACAGTAGGCTATTGTCTTAAGACTATGCTGAGATTCACAGTGGCTGCTCCTGGTTCTTTCTCCAGCCCTTTTCAAGCTGCCTCATAAAACAGGCACGGACAGGGAGCAGCCCCTACCTGAAGGGTACCTGGCTGTTCTTTTCCATTCTGACTACTTGCCACTAGTAGTTCATTAGCAGAATTTAGCAAGGTTTGTTTGTTTTGTGTTTGTTGTTGTTTTGTTTTTTTTTAAACACATGAAGGCACTTCATAAGAAGGTGTACCTTTTGAGACTCATAAGCTTTTTATACCTGTAAGCTGTTTCAAGTAATAAAATCACACTATCCCCTTAAAGAAGTTTAGATCCTTAAAATTGGAGGCAGTAACAAGGAGAAGAAGAAAAAAAGAAAAAAAAAAAAAAGAGGAAGCCAATTTAAACTATCAGAGCTGCTGTTTCTTTTGGTTCATTATTCAAAAAAGGCTTGGAGGCCTCAGCATCTGAAGTCCTGCACAGACAGACTTCAGGCTTGGAATTCAAACTAATAAATTAAACTACCTCTCACAGACATGTAGACCTTGGGAGAGGACTGTACTTTAAAAAAAGAAAAAAAAAATCAGAAGTGAAGTACAGTAAGGCAAATTCTCAGGGGAGAATGGCTCCTCTCACTTCAAAGCCCATTTACAGGAAATGAAAGACTGGCTCATTGTTTTCTCCAATTCATGTTTTCATCTTTTATAGTCCCCCAACTCAGACTAATTAGTCTCTTCAACAGGTTGTTAAAAACCTTCCTGTTCCCTTTGCATTTATTGTTGTATGCTTTGTTAACTATCTTCTAAGCAAATTGGAGGCCTTGTGCTATTTGTGCCCTGACAGCCTGCAAGTCCTGCGTGGGGACAGGACACATTTTTCCAAGAACCGTAATGAACTTCTCAGCGAGCAGCACCATGGCAATGAGCATGAGGAATGCACTCCACACTCTCTCCAAAGCAAAAAGCAGTGCTGCTCCCAGCATCTAATGGTCAGCTCTGACCTTGGAGCTATTATAAGAATAAACCATCAGTAGTTTGTCAGTGTAAGCAGAAAACTTAGCAAATAAACATGTTCATTGACCTGTAATTCAGAGATAAGACCTAGCAGCAAAGCATGGTATGCTAATAGCTTTGTCCTCAATTTGTGTTGCAAAGCAATCCCAGCTGACATGGATTTAACTCCCCTCTGACAGGAAGGAGAAGCCAGGGGAGGTCCCTGCTACACCACAACTCCCAGTCCTGGCCCCATGCACACCCTACACCCACTCGTGCCACTCCTCCTTTGGACCCAGTGCCTTCATGTGTCCACACGTGCTATCATGTATGTGCATGTGTCACTACATCCATCAGTGACTCGATTGCTCGAGGATGGATTAAGGCAACAGGACAAATGTCTTCCCACAACCCTGCAAGCCTGTTTTCAATTAAACATAGACAGTTTTTGACCATGCAGCAACTGCCACAATGCTCACCATGGGCTTTGTTGTTCTGCATCTGGGAAGTCCGAAGGAAAGGGACTGGTTAGAAGATTTCGTGCTTTCAGTAGATTATTGAATTACTTGGGCATAAAGGTGCCAGCACTACTGCAACATGCTGGAATGTGAAGCTCTCCTGCTAAGTTCAACCCTGGCAGGATTTTGTGCTCCTCTGGAGTTCAGGAACACAGCCTTGCCCAGAGAACGGGTCTGATTTAACCAAAAGCCTCCCAGGTGATCAGGGGCAGTGAGGAGATTAGAGGACACCAATGCAGCTGAAAAGCCTACTGTTGAAAGCCCTTTAAGTAGAAAGGAGAAAGTGTCAGCCAATTAAAAACAAAAATAAATTTAAAAAAAAAAAATCACACTTTTCAACTTTTTTTCATTTTCTTTCATCAAAGAAATGCTACCGCTCCAGAGCAAGATAATATAACAATAATTGGGGATGGAGAGCTCTGCAGCATGCAAATGTAGATGGGAAGGGGGGCGAAGAACTCCTCTCCCCGGGAATGAGAGAAGGAGGCTGCAGCTCCTCTGCCAGGCTGGGGCAGGGGCCAGGAGCAGGGTGACCATCCCTGGCATGCTGGGGGAAGCTGCTGGCGGCCCCAGCCCACGTCATTCCAACAACTGCCTGGGAGCATGGCGCAGAAACGAAGTTTTACCAACAATAGAGGATCTTGCTGAGTCAAAATAAAAAGTACTTAAGCACTACGTTAGAATTAAAATTGCTTTTATCTTGCAAAATGTAAACCCTTTGGCATGCAGACAGAATATAAACACATGGGGAGATGCTGGGGGCGGGAAGTGCTAGCAAGCAGAATTATTTATATTAAGTTTTTGCTATGAAAACCCCAGACATTTAATTTTCCTCACTGCTTCACCTGTTTTCAAAATGAGACAGGAAAGCAGCCGACAGACCTGACATGCCTGTGCCTTTCATGGCAGGCAGCCATCCCCACACGAACTACCATTCACTTGCATCATGTATTTATTTTGGGTGCATCGCAGCCCCCATCCAGGGCTTAGGGCATTGGTATGAGGCTGATGGACAACATCACAAAGGCTCCAGCAGGTTAAAAATCTTCAGACCAGCACTGCTAAACACAAGAGGATGAGGGCCCAATCCCTGACTCCAAATTAGCACTGCTGCTGCAGCCCCTGCTGCCTGGGGCTGTCCCCAAGACTTGTTGAGAACCCCAAACAGCACCAGACTGTGAAATAACAACACAGCCATGGCCAGATATGTGTACACAAATAAACACATGAAGAGAGTGTGAGCACACGTGGCCACTGCAGATGTCAGGTGCTGTGAGGGGACGGGTGCACCCAGGGATGCAAATATGGTTTTGGCACCTGCAGCAGTGACTTCAGTTTGGGCTGTGGCTAAAGCACTTCACCACTTCGCACCCCAAATATAAAATGAAAAAAAAAAAAAAAAAAAAAAAAAAAAAAGCCACTGCTTTCTCAAATAGGGAAACTGTTGGAAAAAAAAAAATACTGCTTTTGATGCTGAATATTACAGAGTTGTGAAACATATAATTACTTTTAAAGGTGTATTTTTTGAGACTGAAATGTGTTTTCAGAAATATTGGTGTGGAAAAGAAAAATAAGTGGCTGTATGCCACTACCCTTGTCTGCTTCCCAGCAAGGGGCAATGCCAACAAACCTCCCAAAAGCATCACCCAGAGCACAGCCTGCACCACGACATGCTCTGCAAACATTCCCTTTAGTTGCACAGCATCCTGTAGCCTTTGTAGCCGTGCATACAAGTTGTATTTTTGATCAGAAAAAGCCTAGCAAATGATGAAAATGCATGCAAATATAACCCACCGCCACGTAAACCTTCATTGCTGGAAGAGTTAACCCCGAGACTTTCAGAAACAAGCAGAGGAAAATCAGGAGTTTCAGTCCAAGGGAACGCCCCGTGGCTCAGGTGGTCACTTGCAGACCACAAATAACCCTCAGCACCATCCAAGGGGAGCAGTCTGCAAAAAGCAGCTTCTCCTCAGGTCTCTGGCAGCAGTGCTGTGGAAAAAGCTGGCAGAGCAGATCCTCGCCTTGCCAGGTCTTAGTCACTGCCCCCTTCAGCCTCATGAACACAAAGGTCACCCAAACACTATTTCATAAAGAAGGAGCAAGGCGCCAAGCCCAAAGCCATGTCATATTTCATTGCATTAGGG